CCGCTCCTCCCTTCTCCGCTCAGCGCAATCTCATCTTTTCGGTCATGTTTTCAGGCTTGGGTTGCTGGGACATGGCTCAGGGCCTTGCCTGTGCATTGCCAGGTGCACCCAGGCCGCTATGCGCAGAGCAGCAAGGGGGTCGGGTCCCTTCAGCCCAGGTCCAGCTACTCACGCTCTGGTCGTTGGGCCCCGTCATGATTCAGACCCAGCCAGGCTCACCGCACGTAGCGCGCTGCACCTAAGGATGGCAGCAGCTGTTCCAACCTGCTCTTGCCAGCAGAGGACACCCCAGTAGCAGGATTGCTGGTGGGGCTGTGGAAAGAGAAAATCTTAAGTGCTGCCAACTCTTGACTGACAGGCACTCTGGCTGTTTGCACCATGGGGGGGCCGAGACACCTCTCTCCCCCCCCACACCTTCTGCAACAATCGGCTATATTGCACGCCCAGCCCCCCAAGTCCCGCTCCCACCCCCGGCAGGCAAATGCCTAGCAAAGCTGGGACGTGTCTGGCCCCAGTGAGATGTGACGCCCCAACACAGAGGACAGACTGGGCGGATAGTTTAACGCAGAGTACAGCGGGCTGATTGGACGTGGTTTTTTAATGCCAGGGAATGACTAATAACCACACTGGCCACACTGGCCACGTGGCTATCGAAATGATGAATGACAAGAAAATCGTCACACTAGGGTAGCCAGTGGAGAGAGCGCCGGATGGACTCCGGATAGGTGGGTTCTGTTCCCAGCTCTGTCACTGGCCTGCCGGGTCACCTTGGGTGCTCTGGGCCTCAGTTTCCCATTCTGTAAAAGGGGGATAATGATACTGATGCCCTTTGTCTTTGAGATCTGCTGATGGAGCATGTTATTATATGAGCCTTCGGGGCATGGGACAAAGCAAAGAAATACGATTCAAATACACTTTAAACGAAGATAAACCACCTCTCAGTTCAAATTCAAGCCACTAACTCTCCCCTGCTTCTGGACAAAGGCAGACAGGAGAGGGGAAGGAACGGGGTGGGGGCAGGAGGAATGTCTTGGGGCAGTTCCTTTCAAGCTGTCATCAAGGGGGAGGGGATTCTGCACCCCATGAAACCGCCCCCCGCATCTCCTGCTGACTTTCAGGGGGCCTTAAAAAGCAGGTACTACTGAGGTACTGTCACTGCATTAGCTGAGAACCACCCCATCACTGATGTATTTCTCCTCACCACCCCCGGAGTGCAGGCAGGTGCTGTTATCCCCATTGGACAGAGGGGAACTGAGGCCCAGAGTAAGTGACTTGCCCAGGGAGTCCCCTCAGTGCCCAGCAGCAGAAAAAAACACTGGGCTGTCCTGCCACAAGGAGCCAACCTGCCTGCAGCTCTGTAAGTCTGCAGCTCATGCCTTGTGCTCCACACCAAACGGCTCAGCGTGACCTGATGTCTCAAGGGGGCCCCTTCACCCAGCCGTGGCCGGTGGGTCGCGGCCTTTCCACAGGGTGAGGGCTGACGCTCTTGGGGCCTGGGTGGGTCTCCTGAGAATCGTGCTGTGGTGGCACCAGGGACGGTTAACAGCAGGGGGGCCATGTATAGTCTGGACAAACCACAACTTAGGAGGATGGGGGCATTATAAAGGGATTTGAGGCCCCACCCCCCGCACACTTGAGGAGGGATTGAGACCGTGCAGGGTGAGCCAACAGGACATGGCTCCAGCTCCAGCCCTTCTCACGAGCCTCTGGCGCAGCAGCATCACGACAATGACCCCCCTGGGGACGTCCCGGGACAGCAGAACCCACCCCAGAACAGCCTGATGCTTGGCAGCGCCTGCCAGGCCCAGCCCCAGACCTGAATGCAATCTGGAGCCGACGCATTGCCCTCTGCCCAGCTAGACTTACCCTGTGCTAGCAGCACCCACTGGGGCAAAGAGTCCCCTGAATGCCCCTGGGCAGCGGACTGGGTGTGCGGGAGGAAGGAAGGTTGCCCTAGTCACGATTTATTCCAGTTAGCGAGAGTTGTGGCTGCCTCTGCCCGGAGCTGTGTGGTACTCGCTGCCAAGCCACGGGGCACCGGCTCCGGGGGAAAGTGGGACCCTTGTAACGGACTCAGGCCCCAGCCCGGAGGAGCGGTCGCCATCACCGGCTTAGCAGATTGCTTTCTCCCAAGGCCACGGGATTTGATGGCAGCTGAGAGCCATGCGCTGCCCAGCAGAGACAGAGGTACCAGCCATGCTGCTTCCACCGCTCATTTTCTCCCCCCGAGGGAAACCATCGCCCATTGCTGGTCAAAGGAGCCGGGGAGCATCGCACCCAGCCATCAGGCCTTGGGAGAGCTGGGTAGATGGATAAATGGCTGCGTATTGGGTCAGGGAGCGAAAAGCCTTATATTCCAAGATGGACGGGCAGTACCCCAGTAAACGGGGCCAGTGATCCCCTTCACACGTCTCAGGGAGAGTGGCCAGGGCACCCCCACACCTGGGGATAGCGGCGCGGAGGTCGTGGGGTGTTTAAAAGGCCCTGTGGGAGCCGTAGGGCTCGGGACAGGGCGGGGCAGGGCGGTGGTCGGGGGGAGAACAGCTGCATTCACTTCCTAGGAACCGACGCCGTACACTGCCCCTTTCCTCTCCTCACACCAGGCCATTTTTATAGGCGAGCTGAAGTGCGACCGAGCACGGCTCCATGACTTGCTCTTCTTCTGGAGGTTAATGACCCAGTTAGCAGCTCTTGGCTGCATTTCCCGACATTTTGCAGACATCAAGACCCGTCTCCCTGCCAAGTACATTCTGTTCCCTGGAGCGTGGCCAAGGCATCTCAGATTACTGTGTAATGCGACAAAGCGGGCGAGCTGGAGGGGGATGGGGGGGTTCCAGGAGCCGGTGGGAAGGGGGCGGGCAGGGGGAAGCACCGCTGCTAAATTTAACATCCGAGATGGAAATGCTGCTCCCAAGGTGCCTATTTACTGGAGAAAAAGTGAATCCCAGAGTAAACAGGGCCGCTGCTGCTGGGAAACAGACGCAGTGAGCAAATGTATCCCCTGCCGGGATGCTGCAGGCCCGGCTTCCCGGCCCCGCTGGCACTGTCGCTCGGGATTCTGCTGCTCTCTGATCTGGGATGAGTATTATTTGGGAACCACTAGCCAGTGGCCGGCCTCAGGAAATCTGAGCGCTGGTGGTGGGGGTGGTGGGGCGGGCATGGGGACAGGGGGGCGTAGCCCTGAAAGGATCAGAGGGTGGAGGGGAAGGGAAAAAGCGGCTGGAGTCCTCTGCTACTTGAATTGTTTTTGCCCCCTTATGCAGCAGTAAAGCTGCTGATTCCAGACACCGGGATTTGGGTTCCCGGAAGTGGCAGGTGCTTTGCTAGCTGGACGCCAGACAGGCCTTGAGAAAGGCTGCGTCAGCAGCAGAGAGCAAACCCAGGACCCGGCCACTACCCGTAAGTTACAGGCATAACTAGCAACCGGCTGCTTGCAATCACTGGGGCAGCCACTAGGAGGAGACATGACCCCACACACGGCAGTGCATCACTCACGCTGCTGCACTGCTCTGTCCGCAAAGCAATAATATCCCTGGGTATTTATCCCAGCCAGGCCTGGGCTCCTCCACCCCACATCCGCCGAGGCCCCTCAGTCCTCATCTGTAGCCCCTCTGCGGTTCCGGGCCAGGGTTTACACACACACAGAACTGCTGACACCCCATAATCCTGACCCACTGCCCACCTGCTAGTCAGGTCTCGCATCCCATCCTCAAGGGGGGGTGAATTTCTAACGGGAGATAGTTTTCCAGACAAGACGCTGGATCCGACACACTCACACACTCCCTGGAAAAGGGAAGAGCCAGATTTCATGGCTTGGGTACAGCTCTAGTTATAACGTGTCCTCCTCTGGTGACGGTCCCCGGCAGAGCTCTGCCAACGTACCTAGAGGCTGTCCTGCAGCATTCCCTGCTTCTCCAGTGCTGGGCCCTGCACCACAGTTCTGCTGGTGCCCCTCAATCCTGACCCGCAGGCAGCCCCCGCTTGTATGCCAGCTCTGAGGATACTCCCCAATCCTGACCCACAGCCCCCTGCTGTGCCAGCCCTGGGCCTCTCCGGTGCAGAGACCACCCAGGGGGCCAGATTCATCTGTTGTTCTGTGACACCGGGAGAGAGGAAACCTTGTCTTGCTGCCCCTGCCCCGCTTCATGCCAGTCCCCACCAGATGGCTTCCCTGCTGCTAATCAGCGCCAGAATCAAAGGCGCCATGGGGCCGGCAGCGGCCGGTCGCTCTCCTTAGAAGAGCTGCTGAGAAATGACCCATGTGAGCATCACAGCTGAGCGCGGAGGCAGCCTGAAGGGGTCAGAGAAAGCATGCGGGGAAATAGCAACGGTGCCCAATTGTCAGCGGCAGAACGAACGCGCTGGGGAGACTGCTGGAGGCGTGGAAATTACCCGAAACAAAGAGCTGAGCCTGCCAGCGTTAGCGGCTTGAGGAGATTTCTCTCCTGTGGACTGGAGCTCTCCTCCTCGCCAGGGATTATTTCCTTGAAAGACAAGAAGCGACACAGAATCAGCTCCATGTGCGGCAAGGCCGGGACGGCTCACTGCTCTCGTGAGATCTCAGCACGCCCCCGGAGCCCCTGAGAACAATGAGTCGGGCTCACCAGACCCAGGATTGGCAGAGGGGAGTTTTGAAAATGCAGGGAACAGCCTGGCAAGCCACAGCAAGTGCTGGGATCTCAGGATCAGTAATACCGGTCGCTCCGCTGAGTGCCTTTCCTCCAGGGAACGCAGCGGGGGAGTCAGCCCGGGGCTGACATGAGGCGTTAGTGGCACGGAGGCCCTGTGCCGGCCCACTGGCCGGGGCTGAATTTCACTGCAGGCGCTCTACTCATTGATCGGCGAAGCTTCACCATGCACTCTCGGCGTCAAGGAAATGAGATCGTCACTTCAGTGTTACAGATGGGGAAACTGAGGCATGGTGAGTTTAAATGACTCCCCCCAGGGTCAGACAAAGACCTAGTGGCTGAGCTGGGAAAGGCACCCGGGTCTCCCAGCTCCTATCCCCCCTGCTGTACACACTGGAAGACACTTAACATCATTGTGTTGCTATTGATCATTATTGTTTATGTTTCAGTGGGGCCCAGGAACCCGAGGCGTGGAGGAGGACCCAGCTGTGCTAGGGGCTGTACAAACACAGAACAACAAGACAGTCCCTGCCCTGCAGAGCTCACTGTCCTGCTGCCCAGCCAATGCCGCGCACAAAGGAAGAAAGCAATCGACTGGCCTAGAGACGGGAGCCAATTTCCTATCAGGTGTCCCTGATTTGCGCAGCGCCTGGCACAATGGGCACCAGTCCCAGTTGAGTTCTTTGGGCACTGCTATAATATAAATATTGACGACTATTAGCAATAGGCAGTCTTGTCGCCCCCTGCTGTCAGTGGGAGAAATAGCAGCTGGCTCACCGAACACCATGAATTCTTCGCTGGCTCTCCACTGAATGTCGCTGGTGATGGTGGGAGAGAAATGTTCTAGACGGAGAGCCTTGTTCAGGGAACAGGTACAGCAAGGCAAACAGCAGCACAGGCTCCCCCCACAGAGCCTCCACCCCGGTTTGGAGAGCTCAACCCTCCAGGACAAGCCCAATCTCAGTCCCAGGGGACTCGCAACGCCCCCACTTGCGCTGGCAGACCCCTGTCAGCGGTAGCTGGGCTGAAACCCACCAGGCAGTCCTTGCCTGATGACAACTTCCAGCCAACACCAGGTCGGCTCCTACCCAGACAGCGCTACACAAAAATCAACCCACCGGCAGGCACATTTAGCATCCAGTCCCCCCTGCACCCTGCCGGTTGTTCAGGCAAAAGACAAAGCGTCCCCCCCTCTAACTTGGACCAACTGGGCCAGTGAAAAATAATGTTTCCTTTCAAGTCTGTAGGAGCTGATCCATACAGCAATCCAACCTCGGCGAATGTTTATTAGAGCTGGGAATAACCTTGATTGATTTGATTTTGCTGATTGGGTAATTAAAGAACTAAAGAGATAATCACATGTTCAGCGAGGAAACGGAACAGCTGTTCAGGCGAGGAGCTGACAGACACATTTGCCGCCCGATGTCTCCCATCCCCCAGAGGCTGGGGCCTGTCTCACCGATCCATTAAACCTGAATCCGTCACCCTGACGGGCCGGTGTAGGCCCTTGTGTGGGTGAGACCACAGGATTGGGTTCGCGGCTGGTGATATTAGGAGAGCCAATTCTTGGACTGCTGTGTAAGAAGGACCCCGCATCTCAACCTTCTCACCAGGGTCTCCACCCTTCCCAGCGCAGAATCTCCATCCCTTCCTACCACTTACAATACAGGAAAAGCCAGGGCCTACCTGACCTCTTACCCTTCACCGCACGTCCCCTAACCGCAGCCCATCTTCTGTAAGGGGTCCCTGTGCCAAGCAACCTGCCGTCAGCAGTAGGAAGTTTTCGCCATAGTGACTCAGGGCTGTTACCCAGCTGCGGCTGTTCAGTGCCTTGTGGGGCAGGAGACAACGGCTTCACCATCACAACAGCCACAATCTGGCTCCCTTATTAGAAGCAGGGTTGCCACCTTTCTAATTGCTGGTAGCCGGACCTCCGTGATCCCACCTCCTGCCCCGAACCCTCTTCCCCCCCTGCTCCGTCTCTTCCCTGAGGCCACGCCCCTTCTCCACCTCTCCTACAGGTAGGGTGACCAGATGTCCCGATTTTATAGGGACAGTCCCGATTTTGGGGTCTTTTTCTTATATAGGCTCCTATTACCTACCA